CACTAATTGAAGTTTAAACAAGTATTTTTTAGTAAGCAAGTGATTTCATTAACCAAAAGAAAGATAGATGTATGCCATATTTACTATGTATACTTACAAGTAATTACAAGTAGAGGAACAAAAATGCAAAAGAAATGTGTGAGATTGAATGGCAGATCATCTACTTATATATGGTAGCAAACCATTGGATTTGGTGTGGCAATCTTAGTTAGGCCATTGTATATCAGATTCTGCTGGAAAAAAAAAAAGAAGAAGATGGTTGTGAGTTTTAAATCACTTTTTTGCATTAAGCACACTAAGCTCTGGGAGGACTCCATAAGAAATTCGCTTATCTTGAATTGTCAATCTCTCCTAAAGTAGTTAACTACGAGATGAAGTTATATTTTGGGTTAATAAAATTTTTAGCCTTTGAAGTATATATTTTTTGTTAATTTAGTTCTCATTATACTAATTTTATCAATTTAGTTTACAAAAATATTCAATTCTTGTCATTTTTGTCCTTATAACCGTTAAATTTTCGATAGAATGATCACATGTTAGACACGTAATATTGTCTAAAAAAAGGACACATGGTCACTTCTGTCAAAATACTTAGCGGATTGCCTAGTTAGAAACCAAAGTGATACGAATTGATTAATTTATGGACCAAATTGATTAAATTGATAAAAAATACATATTTTAGAAATCAAAAGTATTATTAACTCTAAACAAAATAAGGACAAATCTACAATATAGTGGGCAAAAGAAGAAAACAAATTAGGAAGTGCAACCAAGGCAAGCAACTTCCAAATCATAAAGAACAGATTTAATACTATTTGCAACAATCTTAGAAATGCATTTGTAGATAGTGTAGCAGCAAGAAATAGACCTATAATCTGAGAGCTTAGAAGGATTATGAATTTTTGGTATGAGAGAAATAATGGTAGGGTTGAGTTCCCTCAACATTCTTCCTTGAGCAAAAAAAGATTGAATAGCATTAGTAATGCCTTCCCCAATACTATGGCAAGTTGCTTGCTCCTCTAATAGTTTTGTTTTTTCCGGAAGGTAAAAATATATTTCATAACGCTGGTACAAATAAACAACTTACATGGAGATAGACTATAGAACAACACAAAAATAATACACAAGTGAGCTGAATTTTGAAGAAAGTGAAGGCCATGAGCCACCACTTCCCCCAAAATACAAAACACAGGTTGATTCAAGATAGTTTATTCCCAATATATTGTTCCACCCAATTCATTTGGACTTTTGATTCAAGGTAGGGGAGCTCCAAGGAAGTTCTTGAAATATTGGACAGTTCCCGTCTTGACCTCTTCAAAATCAGTAAATTCTACTGCCATCCTCTTTCTCGGTTGTAGTGAGTCTTCTACGAATTCTGTGTTGACAAAGTTTTGAAGAAGAACCTTGTATTTTGATCTCCAAGGTTTAGCCATTGACTTCTAGATTTTTGTTTGAATAAATTTTCCTCAGCTTCCCTTAATTCTACACAATTTATCAGCTTCCTTTTCTCCTCCTGCCTTAATCCCTTATCCATTGGACTTGTGTAAAGATCCTTTTGACATTGCTCCAAGTTGTATTTTGCTTCTCTGGTTCTTAGTGAAATTTCACCACAAGAGCTCTGATTCAACTCCTTCAAGTCTGCTTTCAGGGATTTTGTTTTCTGGTACACTTGATACATGGGAACACCACGGTATGGAGTCTAGCTCTAGTAACTATAGGAAAAAGTTCCTGATGATTTGTCCAGAAATCATAAAATTTAAATGGCTTTCTCCTTTTGGGCTTAGAAGAGATGGTGGGCATAGTGAGAGATAAGATGAGAAGGTGAAAGAATGAGAGATTTAGAAGAAGGGTAGGAAGGTATGAGATTTAGGGTGGGTGAGAAGGAGGCGCACAAAAGAAAGCCCTCATCGATCATCATCCACTCTAAAGTCCTGAATCGATATTTATAGGATTGAAATACCCCTCTAGCTAAAATTTAATGTAGTTGAAGTTAACCATTGACTAGTGTCCTCTTGATTTGGAGTCGGCCACATCTCAGGTGAGATTCCTCTATTCAAAACCATGAGATCAACAATTGTAGTCACGGGCCAGGATTAACATATCACAACAATAATGCTTCTTAAGTTAGCTTGTAGTTCAAGACCTGGGGCTCTAATCACCTTGTCTTCATGTTCTGGTCAATTAACCCCACTGGATGCCAATGCTCCAGCTAGAAGAAAATAGAATTCACATTACCAATCTTATAATTGAGAAGTGTCTTGCAAGTAGCTTCGAGACACAAACAGTTTCCTCTGAGATCAAGATGAATTTGGAGGTACCTTAGTATTCCAGAAGTATCACCCTTTCAATCGATAGGTTTTGATCCTAATCAACCCAGATTTAATTTCCAATTCTACTGATAATATTTCACACATGCATTAGGATTTCAACTCATTCCAATGCTCATTACCTTGATGCCTAGGCCCATTCTTTTTTTTGGGAGACGAAATATTTCCCTTATGATTTTTGCACCTCCAGCTTCCCCAGACCATATAGACCCCCTCAAAATTTGTGTAATAGCTAGGATATATTTGGAATATATAAAATAGAGGACCATTAGGTTTGGATGACAAATTGAAATTTATCAATTCTACCCTTTTTGCATCTGAGACAAAGTTGTTACTCCATAAGTTGACCCTTGAAATTATCTTCTCCATTAAAGATTGATAGTCAACAGCCTTAAGCCTAATGGAGACTAAAGGTATCCCCAAGGTACTTTCAATTGGTAATTCTTCCGTGATAAATCCCAGCATTTGCATGTTCTCATCTTTTGTTTCAAGTTGAGCCCTAGAGAGGAAAACTTGGCTCTTAGTTAGGTTGGGTTTGAGCCCTGATAGTATCTCGAGAATATAGGGCCCATTTAATCACTTTGGCAGTGTGCCTTTGTTGAAGATCGATAGATCATCAACAAAGAAAATGTGAGAGTTTTCCTCTTTACTAGATCTCTACGGCAGTTAAACCTCTTTTGTTAAGTGATAACCTTCATTAATCCTTGGAACAATTTCATAACTCTAATTGATGGGATAAAAAATTGAGAACCACGAGATGGAGAGCTGGATGAGCGCTTGGTGGGTATGTTGTGTGTGTGTGTAAAAATGAATGAGAATACAAAAGAAATAAGTAGTTCACCAGCTGAAAAGTTTGGCTAATCCACTCTAATAGAGAATTTTGCTCTTTGATCGTTTATTACTTTTTTAAAGAAAAAAAATACAACAGGATTTTTTCCTTACTTGATGCCACTTTTTACACAGTAATCATTGTCTTTTATAATAGAATATTAGGAGAATATTTAGGGAATAGTCGGAAAATATTCAGAGAATATTTGGGGTGACTTATTGCCCAAAGCATGGTTTGAGGGTAAAAATTATTTTCTGCCCTTTTGGGTAGTTTCTGTATTGCTTCTTGTCTTCTAGAATTTCATTGTCTTTTGTATATTTTTCGGTATCAACACTAACAAACACAAAGGGTGACATTGGGTAACCCTGCCTAACTCCTCTTCATTTAGCTCTTCTTTAATGCTTGTTGAGTATCTAAACATGGTCTCAACAAGCTTCAACCCACTGTAGCACCTTTTATGGAAACCTCATCTGATATAGAGCTTCAAGAACAAATTCCCACCACATAGTGTTACATTTTTCATTGAGTACACCTAGTACCTCTTCTATCCAAATGCACCATGCAGATTGTGACCTATCAATTACACCATGGAGGACCTCTTTTATCCTGTTAGAAATGATCTTGGATATGCACTGGTAACTAACATTGCAATAAGAGATGGACCTGGAACTGCTCAAATATCTATGGTTTGGAACCTTTGAGATAAGGGCACTGATAGTAGAATTGATCTCTTGAATAATAATATCAATGATGGAAAAACTGAACTTGCTTGCCAAGTTACTTGAAAAATAGAAGACGATATGATGAATTAAAGAAGACATTTTTTTTGGCATATGAAACTTTCTGCATTGAAAGAAAATTGTCGTGCCCTACACCAAAACAAGAAAAATAAAAAAGTAGAGTAAAATTTTTGTTGCAGCTTCTAAAAATAGGCTATTGATATGTTAGAATAGGTGACTCATATTCAATATAAGAGAGTGTGCCTTTGAGATTTACTCTAATTAGAGTTGTAACCAATATATATATATATCTATATATATATTAATTTTAATCCTACTTTTGGTGTGGAATAGAAAACAAGACAACTGTTCTCTATTATGGATGTAGGTAAGTTGTGGAAGCATGTAAAATTTTGTATTCTTTTTTCTAATTAATTATGTTTCTTTGATTGTTCATCGCGCACACAAATTACAACATGATCAATGTTGCAATCATTCATATCTCCTCCAGCATAGTTATCATAACACCCTTTTCTGACAGCATATCAACTAATTGATCTAACATCTTCGTATTATCTATCTTTTTCTTGAGAGAAACCCTTATGAAAAACATCTCCAAAGAAATCGGACTCGTACTTCGGTAAAATTGTGAAAAAATTAAATCTAAGAGTGATTGATAATCCTCCGATCAATACATTCCAAGCCCTACGACATGACAAAGTGAAATTTTTTCATTTTAGGTAAACTTGGAGCTTGAATATGCAACTTCTACTACATTGTGGTCTTCTACCCTCCAAGGAGACCATTTAAACGTCTAAAGGGAGGGAATTCCCTCTCATTGCTCACAATGAGGCTACACTAAATATGCTTTGCATGGTCATATGTTCGTCGAGCTAGAATAACCATCTAATTTGAATTGTAATTTCTTGGAAACACCTGGATGTTATGTTAGCAGCTATTATGCTAGTAAATGCCATAAAAACATGCAACTGGAACATGTTTCTTATATCAGAAGTAAATAAAAAACATTAAAATGGACATTATTTTTAGGTTTCAGTGTAACCGCTACATAGCAGTTGACAAACCTGTCATGTTCCTTTTTAGCTTGAGAATACGAGATATGCCATGTTGAGCAAGGGAGTTGCAGAAAAGACCCGTGAATTGAGGTATAATTGCCATTAAACTACTGCTCATATTCGTTAGTATATATAAACATATGCATATGAAATTTTATAGTATTGAGATAAAATTTCTTCTATAATAGGAAACTACGGGGAGAAGAGCTCCAAGGACTTGATATGGAAGAGTTAATGAAATTGGAGAAGTTGCTGGATGGAAAATTGAGACGGGTCGTAAAAACAAAGGTTTGTGTCATCTGATTATCTTTATAGGCAGTTTTTCTTGGGTAACAAGGGATCCCTCTAAAATAGGGCCACTTTGGACCAACCTCTATAGAGTAAACTTAAATAGGTCTTATCTACTTCACACTGCATGTAGAGCTAAAACATTTATAATTTTTCATGTATCTCAGGGTGATAAAATACTGAAAGAGACTGATGCTCTTAAGAATAAGGTCAGTCAACTGTTAAATTTTGCACGAAATACAGTTTCAATCACTTGACCTTCGGGAATTTAGCACACGAGATAGAGCAAATGTGTAACCTGGCCTTTTTGGGACGGGTTTGAGATTTATATTCATATCCACCTTTTTCTATTGATGAATTACATTTTTGAGCATCAGTTCAACAGATAGTACGGTCTTGAGGTTTGGTTCGAGTTGACTATCATATGATCGGTTTCAATTTTTATGTTTTGATTTTTGTATAAGCTTGTTTAGATTTCTAAACAAAATTCTCAAGATTCGCGAAATTCGACCCTTTTGGTTTTGGTATGTTCTAAACAAAGATTATTCCCATATTATGTTCTAAACGAATCAACCTTGAGACCACCTAGCTGAGTAACACATTGTTTTGGTGCTGGGAATATAATCAAACTTAAAAGTTTGATCATGTTTGATTCATTCTCTAATGTCCCAACAATGCTCGAACTGCCTTTTGTTTAACATCCCATGTATATGAGATATCATATTTCCCATCCCGATATCATGGTTAATTAAGATGTCTTGGAGATTTTCTTAGTTACGTTATTTAATCTTAATGAACATGCAGGAAGCCCAATTGATGGAAGAGAATGCTCGGTTGAGACAAGAAGTTAGAGTTTCAGTGTTCTTTTCTCTTTCTTGTTACTTTTTAATTGTGTTTTGTTCATAGGTTGATTTAAATTTCTGATTTCAGACTGTGGACATAGCCCATGGTGAAACCAATGCTCTTCCACAAGGCCACTCATCATTGTCAATCACCAACTACTGTATCTCAGTTCATCCTCCTCAGGGCTGCAATAGCTTTGACACTTCCCTCAAGTTGGGGTAAGATTATTATGGTTCATTTTGAAGTTGACCTAAACGAATCATCTGCTCCTAAAGTTCAGGTTATATGATTTATATTTACATATTATGATAATAGAAAATTATTCTAATCACGTGTTCTTTTGTTCATGTTTCAATACAAACTTAGGATGTACACTATTGCTTATTAACTGCATGTATTGGTTAAATATGAATTTTGTATGAAGCAAACGGGTTTGAACTCAAGTTACATGGGTTTGTGACTCGTCCTCTATTCGACAATTGAACTGTATATTGACTGGTTGTGATGGGCTGAAGGGTTTTGATGTTTGCATGTGAAGTCTTAATTTGTATTTCTAAACCACACGGCACTGTCACATGCTGTGTTAAACCCACACAAAATTTTCTTTGTCTAACTTTTCTCATCAAAATCTTTTGCAGCCTACCTTTCTCCAACTGAACTGCAAGGCCCGGAGCTGTTTAATTGGTAAGGAATAAGTAGTTCTGCATCACCCTTCTATTATTAAGATATGATATGATTCACATAGATTCATTAATATTCACAATATGAATGAGGTGATGAGAGGCTAGAGTGGTATATTTATATTTATCTTGTAAAAAGAAAAAAAAAATAAAAATAAATAAATATAAATATAATATATATATATATATATAGACACACACCTTAAAATAGGGTTGAACGTTATATATAAAATCACCACCAACAAATAAAATAATCGACGTAACTCGTTGGATATTTGGTCTGTGACTGTAGGTATTATGTGTTAAACTACAAATATTCTTGCTATTATTTCCTTTTTTATTACTTTCTATGATTTCTCTTAGAGCAAATGGTATTCAACACATATGTGATATTATCCGGGCCGGTCCAACCCTTAGGCAATTAAGTTGTTTGCCTAGGGCCTATAATATTTATCCCTTTAGTATAGTAGGTCTAATTTTTTATGTATTATTTTATATTTTAGATATGATTAAAATTTTAGGCCTCAAATTTTATTAGTTCAAATCAGTATCTAATTTTATTAGGTCCAAAATTACCCTCTACTTGTTTAAGCCCAAATTTTAGTGCCCTCCATAAAATTTACCACTTTAGTATAATAGTCTTTTTTTTTTTTTTTTGTATTTTAAATATGATTCAAATTTTTAGAGCTTAAATTTTAATAGTTCAAATCAATATCTAATTTTTTTGGTTTCAAAATTACTCATTCATGTGAGCTTTGATTTAAATTTTTCTAAATATTTTGGTGTATTCATAGTTGTATTTTACTCACATAGAAAATTTATATTCATTATTTTTTTGTGGTGGTGAAAATCTATAAATTGGTTCATTTTTTCATTTTTTGTCTTTTAATAAAATTTTTCAGTCCAAATAATTTATTCTTAAATTGTTTATGTTATTAAAGTTTTGTATTTCATGCGTGCATATTATTCATGGGTAAAGAATAATTATTTGTTATCTTAAAATTATTATTTGCTCACATATTCTATTATTAAATTACTTGTTGAAAATTTAAATTGATGAAATTTTATTTACAATCAACTAAGAGTGAATGAATTAACATTATTATCTATTAAAAAAATTTATTGTCAAAACTTGAGTATAAAAACTTGATCAATATTTTTTAAAAATAAAAAAAAATAATTTTTAAAATATAAAATATAATTTAAAAAATAAAGTATAGCAATAGACAAATATAATAGGAACTCGTATGAAAATTGTCTAAGGCCCGTTTGACCTTGGGCCGGCCTTGTGGGTTTGGAGGTTTTTGGAAGATGGATTAAAGATAAATAGTTCAAATTATACACAATTTATATTTGGATAAATATTTAAAGGCCGGGTTACCAAGTCTAACTTGCTACAAGGTCTGGACCTAAATCTTAGATCATGAGTTTCATCAAACTCACGGGGTTGGGTTTAGAATGAGAGTTAATGAGTTTTGACTGCAAAAAAATAATTTTACCCTCAAAACCTTATGCAAATTTTACAAATGTCTAATATGGTTATTGTTTTTGTTGCGCTTTATTATGGATTTGAATAATATTATATTTTAT